ACATAGTGAGATGCTGTCTCATGAAACCAAGGGCTAGGGATGTAGCTGAGTGGTAGAGCAATTGTCTAGCTTATGCAAGGGTTTAGCACCACAAAAAATCAAGTCTTGGGCAGGACTTCAGATGGGCTAAGGCAGATCTGTGTGTAGGTGGAGTCGTGCATGCAGGATGTAGGGAAGATGTTGTCATAAATGACTTCCTTCTTCCTGAGTCATTTGCAAGAAGGAAACTTGGTGATGCTGAGAACCACAGTTGCAGAGTAAAACCTTGACCCGCAGGTCAAGGGGGGACAAAGTGAGCAAGGAGAGAGCTGTGGTCATCTGTCCTGCTTCTCCTGAGAACTGAAAACGGGATCTGGGCTCTGGCAGAAGAGAAGCTATGGGCACAGAATTCCTGTGCCTGCTTTACCTCGGTAAGTCTCAGGGGCTGGGACAAATTTTGCATGGGTGAGAAAAACTCAGGGAGGAGTCAACACGGAGAAATGCAAAATTGGAGATGTCCTTGCTTGGGTGCATTAGAGTCTGGGGACCTCACACACATCAGTGCCGGTGCCCACACCTAAGAGATGAGGAACCTGAGATATAAAGCAACATCCAATTTACTCCAAGAGGTGCAGAGCTCCATGGGGTCTCCCAGTCACCCTTGTGAATACTGTGGTTCTGTCTGGATATTCCACTGGACTCTCAGGGGGCAGGGCAAAGGATGTACTGAGTATGGAGCTGTGGGTAAGAAGTGGCTTTTCTGGCCAGTTCCATCCTTGAACTGAATTTACCATCTTCCATTTGAACCTATTCTCTTCAAAAAGATGTTGGAGTGTGAGGAGAAAGGCCAGGATTATAGACTTGGCTCCATCATGTAGCAGCTCTGGACTTAGAGCCAGTAGCTGCCCTCACCAAGCTCCCAGTTCCTCCCTGGGACAGGTGTACATGTGTGTGGTGGGGAGGTGTGGTAAACATCACTATGCTTCATGTACCTTCTTTTCTGGCCACAGCCTTCCCTCTGAGGCCATCAGGTTTGGTCACCAAACCCCAAACCTCCACCCACAGGGCAGGGTAAATGGGGCAGCCAAGAGACAATATGGTGTATTTCCTGTGGCTGCTATACCCAAGTCCTACTAGCCTGGTTATTGAGGAATCTCCATACTTAGTTTATTGACACATAACATAAAACTCAACTACTTTAAAGTAAACAATTCAGTGACATTTAGTCATTCCCAGTGTTGTGCAACCAACATTTCTATCTGGTTCCAAGACTTTGTCATAACCTCTACAGGGACACTGTGCCCCATGAAGTCCCTACACCTGCCTCTCCCAGCTCCTGACAACCATGACTCTTCTTTCTGTCTCTCTGTCTGGATTGCCTGTTCTGGATATGCTAAAAGTGGAATTATATGAAGTGTGGCCTTTGGTGCCTGACTTTTTTTTTTTTTGCTTAGAATGATATTTTTGAAGTTCATCTGTATTGTAGCATATATCTGTACTTCCTCTCTCTCTCTTTCTCTCTCTCTCTCTCTCTCTCTCTCTCTCTCTCTCTCTCTCTCTCTGCCCCTCTCTCTCTCCCTGATTTTTGAGCTTATTATGGCTTTGTGCTTGCTAGGCAGGTGTTCTACCACTTGAGCCATGTCCCCATTCCCACTTCATTCACTACTGTGGCTGAAAGACACTCTACAGAAACATTTTAAGTTCTCCAGATCAGGAGCTTCAGGATATGTTAAACTGTAGATAGTTTTGGTAATTGGTAGCTTTTATTGCCATCTTTTTCTGGAGACTGTGGTTTCTAGCATCATCCTTCCCCACTGTGATTGAAGGAAAGAGAACCCAATTGGCATGGAGACTGTATATCAGGATGTCAGCACACATGTAAAGACTGCACCAAATGTTAAGTACACAGTAAGCACATGTGTTAAGTACACGTGCATGGGAAACAATAGCTGTGGGGTAAACGATAAGTATATGTAAAGGACCTGATAAATGACATATGTAGGTGAGTGACTGGTATGTGTGATGGCTCACAGAGATTGGGAGGATCATGGTTAAAGGCCAGACCAGGCAAAAAAAAGTTCATGAGGAAGCCAGGTGCTGGTGGCTCACGCCTGTAATCCCAGCTACTTGGGAGGCTGAGATCAGGAGGATTGAGGTTCAAGACCAGCCTAGAAAAATAGCTCAAGAGTCTCCATCTCCAAAACCATCAGAGAAACATGGGCCAGAGTGTGGCTCAAGAGGTAAAGCACCTGTTTTGCAAATATGAAGCCCTGAATTCAAACCCCAGTCCCACCAAAAGAGAAAAAGGAGGTCACAAGATTCCATCCCAACCACCAAGCCAGGTATGGTGGTGCACACCTGTGATCTGAGCTTTGCAGGAGGTCATAAGTAGGAGGATTGCATTCTGATTTTAGCCCCGGGCAAAACCACAAGATCCTACCTGAAAAATGACCAAAGCAAAACAGGGCTGCAGACATGGCTCAAGGGGCAGAGTGCCTGCCTAGCAAGCATGAGCCCCTGAGTTCAAACCCCAGTACCAACGAAAAGAAAAAAACAGGGTAAGTATAGATGTGTGTTGATGACAAGTTTCTATGAATGCAATAAATTAGAGTAAATGGTTGATGTGTGTGAAGAGGTTACTAGATGACAGACTCTTGTCAGCTAACTGGTCATTTCTGTTGTAATTATTCAGAGAAATATGACTCCCATGGACATTCCTCCCTGCTGGAATTCTTCCAGCACCCGAAGAATTAACCATGTGCTATTTTTGTTTTTCAAAACCCTCCCTCATGCTGGTGGGTCTCTGTCCCTGAAGAACAGGCTTTTCCATTTCAGCCAGTCATATTTGCCTAAGTTGATTGTGGTCCCACTAAGAGTCATGAGAGAGCTGGGTGTGATGGCTCAAGCCTATAGCCTGAGCTATTTGGGAAATAGAGATCAGGAGGACTGTGGTTTGAGGCCAGTCCAGGTAAAAAGTTCATGAGACCCTATCTCAACCAATGGCTGGGTGTGGTGGCACGTGCCTGTCCTCTCAGCTACATGGGGAAGCATAAATAGGACTGTGGTCCAGGCCTGCCAATATACAGCGAGACTCTGTCTCAAAAATAATCAATGCACAAAGGGCTAGCAGAGTGGCTCAAGTGATAGAGCTCCTGTCTAGCAAGTGCAAAGCCCTGAGTTTAACCTCTCATGACCCCATGAAGTCATAAGAGGGTTAAGCACAGTGGCTCACAACTGGAGAGGAGGAGATAGGAGGATCATAGTTTAAGGCCAGCCCAGGGAAAAAAGTGAGACCCTACTTCAAAGTACAAGCTGAGATAATGGTGCATGCCTGTCATTCCAGCTACATGGGAGTCATAGGTAAAAGGATCAAAGTCCAAGGCCAGCCCCAGACAAAAGTTCTTGACAGTCTGTCTGTCTGAAAAATAACTAAAGCAAAAAGGGCTGGGGGAATGGCTCAAGTGATAGAACACTTACCCAGCAAGTGTGAGACCTTGAGTTCAAACCTCAATACCACCCCCCCAAAAAAAGAAGTCATGAGAGAACCAGATGTGGTGAAGCACACCTATAATCCCAGCACTTGGAGAAGGTTCACAAGTTTGAGGCCAGCCTGGTCTTCCTAGACAGAGAATCCTGGTCAGAAGATGGGCTGAGAACAGAGCTGAAATGGTATGAGTCTAAAAGCAGTATTGGGGGAGAATTAAAAAGAGACCATGACACCTGAGACCCCTTGATCTAGGTTTTGAATGGATACCTAGGTCAAAACAAGAGACAGACACCCTGAGACATTTTTATGGCTCTAGTGAAATTCTACCTTTACCCAGAAACAAACCCCCAGACTAGTGTCTCATTTCTCCCACAGATTTATGGTGTTCTCTTCCCAGATGGGAATCTCAAAGATAGGCACAGAAGAAGGAAAATTACAGTAGGTCAAGTTCACAAGCCACAGGCAAGTCTTGGCGGTACTGGGATTTGAACTCAGTGCTTCACTCTTACTAGGCAGGCGCTCTATCATTTGATCCATGGCCCCAACCAAGGACAGTATTTGAGACCAGAAAAAAATATTGGAGGGAAGCAAATTCAAATTGAATGAGTGAAGAAACCCTCTACACATACCCCACAGTAAAGTAAGCTTTCATCATGAGTAAGATTTTACTTACTTGTGATCATGGAAAATGTAGGTAAATGTCAAGGATTTCTGGTTGGTAAAAGAAGGAAAAGTCATGAAAGCATTGCAACAAATCAGAAAAGGTTGCTGGAATTTTCCAGGTACACATAACTTTTGAATGACAAACAATGGGACTGAAACTAGAGTTTTAGACCCCAGGCTCAAACTCCAGGGGTTCCAACATGCCAGGTCCAGCCAGTTGCCCCAATACATCAAAAAAAGGGATGAGTAGTAGAGAAGGGCAGAAAAAAGAGTTTTATCACACACAGAGACATATGCAGGAAGAGGCAAAGTAAGCCCTTCAGCCATCATCAGAACAGACATGAGCATTAGGTTTAAATAGAGAAAGAATTAGGGCAGGGAGTGAGAGGTAAGCATAGTTAATCAGTACCGTGAAGGTGTGGCCTTGTTGACCATTATCTCAGTCCTGGTTTGGGGAGAGGTTCTGGAGAAGCTTCTATTGCTGTCATCACTAGAGGGAAGCAATCTGGCTAAGACAAGCAAATCATAGTTGTCTGGCAGGTAATGTATCCTGAGGAAGCGCTGCTGTTCCTTTCCTTGGGGACAGTTTCATCCATTCCTTCTTTTTTTTTCATTTTTCTTTTATTATTTATATGTGCATACAAGGCTTGGTTCATTTCTCCCCCCTGCCCCCACCCCCTCCCTTACCACCCACTCCGCCCCCTCCCTCTCCCCCCCACTCAATACCCAGCAGAAACTATTTTGCCCTTATTTCTAATTTTGTTGTAAAGAGAGTATAAGCAATAATAGGAAGGAACAAGGGTTTTTGCTGGTTGAGATAAGGATAGCTATACAGGGCATTGACTCACATTGATTTCCTGTACTTGGGTGTTACCTTCTAGGTTAATTCTTTTTGATCTAACCTTTTCTCTAGTACCTGGTCCCCTTTTCCTATTGGCCTCAGTTGCTTTAAGGTATCTGCTTTAGTTTCTCTGCGTTAAGGGCAACAAATGCTAGCTAGTTTTTTAGGTGTCTTACCTATCCTCACCCCTCCCTTGTGTGCTCTCACTTTTATCATGTGCTCATAGTCCAATCCCCTTGATGTGTTTGCCCTTGATCTAATGTCCACATATGAGGGAGAACATACGATTTTTGGTCTTTTGGGCCAGGCTAACCTCACTCAGAATGATGTTCTCCAATTCCATCCATTTACCAGCGAATGATAACATTTCGTTCTTCTTCATGGCTGCATAAAATTCCATTGTGTATAGATACCACATTTTCTTAATCCATTCGTCAGTGCTGGGGCACCTTGGCTGTTTCCATAACTTGGCTATTGTGAATAGTGCTGCAATAAACATGTCATCCATTCCTTCTTATACAGATATTATTGATCTGTCCTGCCCTTCCTGGATTCCCAGGTGGCTACAAGCTGAATGGCTTAGAGCAAAGACAGTTACAAGATGGAGGCAGAGATGTCAAGCTTTTCTCCTGCCTTTAGTTAATTTATTGGCCCAAGTAAGGAGTCAGTGCTTTTTACCAAAGATAGTTTCTAAGTACTTGTTATAGGACTAAAAGTAAAAGGTTAAGATAAACTTGGGGAAAAAGCTGAAAGACTGTGACAGTCCTTAACACACTGTCATGCTCCCTTACCTGATTTGTACTCAAAGACAAGCTCATGGTGCATCACTCACTGAGGTTTCTCTTCCAGGGTTCTGCCTCAGCTATGGAGAAGAAAGAAAGGATGGTGAGTTTCCCCCACACTGAACCTCTGTGTGCTCCTGTTCCCTGTTCAGTGAACTTTTCCTTTAATCCTTGGAAATCTAGGAGGGGTTTCATGGTATCATGATGAAGAGTCAATTCTGAGTTCTTTCCAGAGAAACTTCCCAAGCCCTCCCTCAGTGCCTTGCCCAGCTCTGTGATCCAACATGAAAGCAATGTGACCCTGCAGTGCCAGGCTCATTTCCAAAATGTCACATTCATGCTGGGAAAGTTGCATGACTCTGGGTACCAGCAAGAACACAGTTCAGCAGGAAATGAAGCTGAATTTTCCCTCACTGACCTGCAGCCTGAGGATGCTGGGGACTACTTTTGTGCATACAAGACAGCAGCCTCCCTCAAGTGGTCAGAACGGAGCCAGTACTTACAGCTGGTGATCATGGGTGAGCAGGGAGCTCAGCAGGGCTGAGTGTGGGGACAAGGATCTCATTGGGCATTCTGAGTGGGTGTCACAATGATGTGGAAGTGTTTTAGAATATAGTCAATTAATAGAAAATTTGAGGTACAGTAAGGCCAACAGATCAGGACATGATGGTCACTGAAAACATTGTTACTCATAGTACCCAAGAGAAAGAGGCACCTGGGAGTCACCAGGGTTGGTCAGGGGCAAGCAAGAGCCATTACTGTGAAAGAACAGGCTTAGGATTGACTCTGAGGAATATGAGTTGTCCTTGGTCTTCTGGTACCTGGTCCTGGGGGTGGTGAGGACAGGTGGATAATGTCCCATGTATGAGAGCCCAGTCAAATAGGTGTTGGGGTGTGGGTTCTGCATTGGGTGATTTGCATTTGAAAGGTATGATGGAGGGTGAGTTATTTACTATATCTGGGAATTAACTAACCCTGTCCTCCAAAGGTCAACCAGACCAAGATATCAAAACCTCAAACACAGAAAATGAAAGACATGGTTATCAAAGAGCAATGGATGAGCTAGTCTCCAGGTGTAGAGGGGAATGGGAATGCCAGCTCCTTCCCTTACTTCCCTTGCCTTGTCCTCTTCAGGGTCACTCCCAAAACCATCCCTCTCAACCAGTACAGATTCTGCCATGACTCCAGGTCACAGGACCCTCCAATGTCTGATTCCATACAATGAAACCAAATGTGTTGTGATTGCTCTGCTGAAAATGGGAATCGCAGAACCATTGCAACCCGAGAAAGTAGGAAGAAACCAAACTGATTTTGTGCTCTGGAATGTGACCAGCAAGGACAATGGGAACTACAGCTGTATATACTACCAGTGTACCTGGCCATACCTGGGATCAACCCCCAGTCGCAGCCTGAAGATCTGGGTAACAGGTGAGAATACAGAGTGATAGCACTAACATGAACTCTTTCAACCATCACTTCCTCTGAGGACGGCTTTTGCTTATAGAGATTAGGTGGCCACCCTGTGTCACAAAGATAATTAGCCTTACAATTGCTGTTCAAACATAAATACAAAATTACTTCTTGTTTGTGACAGAGAAGAGCCAGAGATAGTGACCAGTACTCTCAGAGATGTAGAGAAAGTGAATGATGGGATGTGAGGCTAAGAGAACTCACTGCATGGTAAAGTGTTGCAGGCATGGTGCAGGTAGCTGAGAAAAGAAAAATCAAGATAATGGAAGGGGGAAGAAAATGAAGCCAATCTGCCCAGCAAATACACGGCCCTGGGTTTGATCCCCAGTACCACACACACACACACACAAAATCCTAGCAAAAATGAAGACAAGCATATGCGATTTTGTTTCTTAAGTGATTTGAGACCACAGGACCATTTTGCACCACTTTGACCAATCTATCCTCCACCCACCCATCCATCCATCCATCCTCCATCCATCCTTCCTTCCACCTATCTTTCCATCCATCCATCCCCCATCCATCCTTCCTTCCACCTATCTTTCCATCCATCCATCCTTCCATCAATCTTTCCATTCATCCACCCACCCTTCTTTCCTTAAATCTGTCCATTCATCCTTTCTTCCTTCTACCTATCCTTCCTTGCTTCCATCCATCCATTCATTCTTTTTTCCTTCCTTCCTTCCTTCCTTCCTTCCTTCCTTCCTTCCTTCCTTCCTTCCTTCCTCCATTCCTTCTACCTATAATTCCATCCATCCACCCACCCATTCATATGTACCTACTTCATTCATGCAACAATATCTTTCAACTGACTATAATTGCTTCTAGTAGCTCAAACTGGCTGTGTCATGGAGAATCCCTGGATAAACCTCACAATCAAAAGTGTCTTGTAGAAGTGGCCATGTGTGCATATCAATAACTTAGCTGGGGCTTGAGACAAAATGAGAACTGGGCACTTGATAATATTTCATTTCTGACTACCCTCTTTCTAAGTCTTGTGATCATTGATGCTTATCACCCTGAAATTAATTTCACATTGTATCCCTGATCATTTTTCTTTCTAAATTTGCCCTAATTCTTGCAGAATTTTTATTCACCATCAGTGATAAAATTCTGGTGAGAATTGACCACTTTTCAATTCTGTTCTCTGTCAGATCATCTATTCCCCCTTGATTTCCCTCTGTCTCACCTGTCTGTTATGTCAAAAAACAGGCTGTTGTACCAAATTTCAGTGGTTAATCTTTTCAGGTCAGCCTTTCCCACACAGTTTGTTGCTTTGCATGTCACTTTATTATAACACTCCTTCCTCATTACAAAAGGAGAACAGGAATGCCTCTGATCAGAAGAGAATTCAAGTACTTGGCACAAAATTGCCATCCATTCACCCTACAAACCAAATGCTTGATATGACCTGGGCATACAAGGTCTAACTGAGATAGATGCGTTCTCAGGCTAACAGTAGCTTACATGCTCATCTGGAAGAAACAAATAAACAGGAATAAGATATGAGATTAATTTTAAAGTCATTGATGGAGAAGGACTGTGATGGGTAGTCCATGGCTGCATAGGAAGTAACCACACTTAACATCTTAAAGCAGCCATTTATTACCTCACAGTTTGTGGGTGCCTGAAGGTCAGGACAGCTCAGTCGAGTTCTCTGCTTTGCATCTGACAAGGCTGCACTTGAGGTGTCAACCAGGGCTGGGTTCTCATCTGGAGGCTTGATTGGGGAAGGGTCTGCTTCTCTTTTCCATTGCTCCTCCAGAGCCTGCAAGGGGGGAGGGAGCAGAGGCAAGTCCCCTAGCAAAACAGAGTCTTCTATTTCATAATGTTATCATGGGAGGTGACATCCTGTTGCTTGTGCCATATCTGTTGGTTAGCAGTGAGTCATAGCTGTCCACACTCTGGAGAGGGGATTACACACAGGTGTGAACACCAGCAGGTAGGGCTGGTCAGGAAGCTGAGAATGACCCAACCACCATGGGAACTGGAGAGGAGCCTTCCAGGGAGAGAGGATGGCAAAAGCAAATTTCCAGAAGTGTGAGTGCTCCTGGAATGATTGAGAAGCAGAAAGGGGATGGAGGGAGAGAGCATCCAATAAAAGGTTGGGATGGAAGAGAAGACCTGGAGCATGGGTGTTTGAACTGGTCATGGATTCTGCTCTGAGAACAGAAGCCCATCAGTGGCCTTGGAGCAGGAGAGTGGCATGGCTTTATTTATATGCTTTAAAGATCTCTCTACATTTTAGGAAATAGGGGCTTGGAGTGGGACAGGAGGATGTTAGTCACTGCATTTTAGACAATAGGACATACCAGGCATGGTGGTATATGCCTGTAATCCCACCACTTGGGAGGCTGAGGTACAAGGATTGCGAGTTCAAAGCTAGCCTGGACTACAGAATGAGTACATCGGATTCCCCAGAACTTCTTTATGGCTGCCTAATACTGTTTGAATGGAGTCTCAAAAAGTCAAACTCATAGAAACAGAGAGCAGAGTGATGGTTTCCAGGTGTTGAATGTGGCAAACATTCAGTTTGGATTAAACTGTGTCAATGAGGAGAGAGAACTATGGATTGAGTCTTACATATATTTTTGAGATGGATTTTGAGATAAAACCTGCTGCTCTTGGCAATGGGATGGATTCATTGTTAAAGGAGGGGGGAGAAATAAGTGTATCTATAGCTCCTAGAAACTTGACTTTAGAACTTGGGAGGATGACAGTGATTTCTGTGGAGGTAGGGAAGACAGATAAGAATAGGAGTGAAATTAGTTGTGCTATTCATAACTGTAATTGCTATTAAGAGTAATACCAAACTCTGGGAGTCCTAGGAAGAGCAAATGACAGCTCTGTTGTTTACAGAATGGAAGCATTCTTTTCTTTTCTCTTCCTAGAGGGACACAGACTCCATTAGGAGGTCATGAGAGCTTATGCCCCAATGTTCCCATATAACTATTGCAATTCCTTTTCTGGCATCTTGTTTTATAGATGAACACATTGAACCTGAAGCTCCCTCACCAAAGACAGGTGAGATCATTAGAAAGATGTTTTCCCAATTAGATCTGCTTCATGGGACAGGATGGTGGGGGGTCTCCTTTCATTAAAATTCAAGAGAAGAATCTCAGTGTCTGCTTTCTCAATGTTATTGGGGGAACTTCTGCCTTTTGGGGAGCAATGACCTTTCAGGAACTTTTAGAATCTGAAAATACTGGTACCTAAAAGAGCCCCAGGTTCATGATCCGCCATTTTACAGGATGAAAACTCAGTTTTGCAAGGCACGAGTGTGGGTTGGGTTGCCTGGCTTCAGGAGAGAGGCTAAGACCTGTGGAGTTCCCCACTTGGAGAAATGCATGAATACCAAATTCTGTTTTTCTACTTTTAAGTATCCATGAACAGTTGACTAAGACTCAGTTCCCCCAGAAGTTCTCATAAAAATTAGAGTTATTGACAACACTAGCTGAAACAGCTCAACCAGCCTATAACAGTCAAAATGTTTAACGTAAGCTGGCATCTTGATGCTTAAACATCCTTTTCTTCAGCAACCCATGACCTTCCTGTAATCTGCTCCAAGAGCAAAAGTCGTTAACAATGACTGGTAGAGTCTATGCTGGTATAATCTGTTTTAAAAGGGGTCTTCCACAGTGAGCTTGAAGGGTATTAGTCTTTTTGCCTTAATGTCTCTTTTATGAGTGCATATTAATTGCACAAAAGATTTCATTGTGCTTTAGTGTGTATTAGTGTCTCTCTCTTTCTCTCTCTCTCTCTCTCTCTCTCTCTCTCTCTTTTTCTTTTTTGGTGGGACTGGAGTTTGTACTAGTGTTTGAAAATGGTTTCACACCATATTAGCAAACGTGGGAAATGTTTACCACTCCAGTTCATGGACACAAGGCATACCAGGAATGTTTTCCTGAAAATCTCTGAAATCTGACAGAGCAGAGAAGAAGCATGCAAGGGTCAGAAGTAAAGCAGGACGTCTGGTGAGACGTGAGAGGGGAGAGGGTGAGAAGCACTTCTATTTTGAGCTCTTGTATCATTTATTTCCCTTCTTTTTTATGGGCAGGTTATTCATATTCCATTAGCTCACCTTTGTAAAGTGTACATTTCGGTGGCATTTTGAGTACTCATTAGGATTATGGAATCATTATTACTATCTTATTCCAGAACAGTCTCATCACCCACAGTGAAATCCCATATCCATCAAGCAGTCACTCCCTGTCTACTCCTCTCCCACCAGTCTTGGTGAGCATTGATCTGCTTCCTGTGTCTATGGTTTTTCCTATTCTGGACATTTTGTGTAAGTGGGCTCATACAGTATGTGATCTTTGTGTCTGGCTTCTATCCCCAAGTATCATGTATCCAGGTTCATCTATATTGTAGTAGGTACCAACGCTTCATTCCTTTTCACAACTGAATAATATTCCATTGTACAGATATGTCATATTTGGGTTATTTACTTATTTTATTGGTGTTTTGAGACAGGATCTCACTATGTAGCTCGGGCTGGCCTCAAACTCACATTCCACCTGCCTCCACTTCCTGAGTACTAGAACTGCAGGTGTGTGCCACACCACCCAGCTTAGGTTTACCCATTCATCTGTTGGTGAACGTTTGGGTTGTTTGACCTTTCAGCTAACGTGAGTAGTGCCCTTTGAATGCTGGTGCACATGTATGTACAATTATCTTGTGTATATACCTCGGAGTAGGATGCTGGGACATATGGTAGCTCTATGTTTAATTTTTTTTGAGAGGGAGTCTCACTATGTTACCCAGGGTGACATAGTGAGATTCCCTTTCAAACTTGGATCCTCCTGTCTCAGCCTCCTGAATAGCTGGTATTATAGATGTGCACCACCATGCCCAGCATTCTGTTTAATTTTTTTTAAGAAATGCCAAATTGTTTTTGATGTGGCTATATCATTCTATATTCCCACCAGTAATATATGTAGGTTCCAATGTCTCTACTGCCTTCTCAATACTATATAGTTTCTTAAAATATAATTTTTGGGGTGAAACTGGGCTTCCAACTCAGTGTCTCATGTTTGCTAGGCAAGTCCTCTCCCACGTGAGCCATGCCCCCAGCCCTTTTTACCTTAGCCATTTCTCAGACAGGGTCTCATGTTTTTGCCCCCAACAGCTTTGGACTGTAGTCCTCCTGCCTACACCTCATGAGTAGCTGGAATGACAGACATACACCACCACACCCAGCTGGTTTGTTGAGATGGGATCATGTTAACTTTTTGCCCAGGCTGGTCTTGAACCATAATCCTCCTGATCTCTGCCTCTTGAGCTGAGATTACAGATGTGAACCACTGTGCCTGGCTTAAAATTTAATTTCTGCCAGGTACTCCTGGCTCACACCTGTAATCCTAACTACTTGTGAGGCTGAGATTGGGAGGACTGCAGTTCAAGGCCAGCCTGGGAAAATAATTCACAATACCCCATCTCCAAAATAACCAGAACAAATGGACTTGAGGGATGGCTCAAGCACCTCCAGAGAGCCTGCTTTGCAAGTGGTAAGCCCTGAGTTCAAACCTCAGTGCCACCAAAATATATATGTATATATGTACATGTATATAATTTCAAAGTTGAAATTTCTATCACTACAATTCTAAACAGAATAAAATACCCTTTAGCATAGGTTCAACACCCCAGACTGTATTTGTATGCCTCAAAGCCACCAGAAAGGAACCCTATAGTCAATTTCTATGCTGAGAATGATGATTTTAGCCACCTAAATTTGACTCAAGACCAGTGCCTGTGACTTCACCTGTGTCCCATCCCAGCTGTATTCTGCTGCTCAGTCTGATGCCAGTACCCCAGATACATGCCATGTATTTTTGCAACCTGTAAATAGAGATGTGAAATTTGACCAGGGTATGTGAACACCTCAGTGTGGAACCCAGCTCAGCTGCTTATGGTGCCACTGCACAGGGCAATTTTGCAACAACTTCCTTCTGATTTCTAATGAACTGTGGGTGAAGAAGTTACAGGCTGGAAAAAGGGGAGAGTTAGAAAAACCAGGCAAGGCTGCTGCTTCTCTGCTTCCATCTAAAAACCGTGAGAGCCTGGGAGCCATGCTCTCATCTTGTTTTCAAAACTCCTTGGAAGCCGGGCGCAGGTGACTCACGCTTGTAATCCAGCTACTTGGGAGGCTGAGATGGGGAGGATCAAAGTTCAACGCCAGCTGGGGCAAATATTTCATGAGACCCTATCTCCAAAAATAACCAGAGCAACATGGGCTGGAGATGTGGCTCAAACAGTAGAGCACCTGTTTTGCAACCACAAAGCCCAGAGTTCAAACCCCAGTCCCACCAAAAAAAAAAAAAAAGAAATCCACGGAGATTCACTGATAACTGATAGAATTACTGTTTTGGAGGGTGCCTTGAGTTTGATTCCATGAAAGGCAGACTCTTAGATATTATTAGATGTTATTTTCCTGCTTTCTAATCAGGGTATTATTCATATTCTTTTAATTAACCCTTGTAACGTGTACAACTGAGTGCCACTTTGTATATTCAGAAGATTGTGGAACCATTACCACCATCTAGTTCTCATCACCCCAAAATGAATTCCAATAGGCAGTGTTAGTATTCCATAGGTGGCATTAGTGTGAACATGACATTTTGGGGAAGTCAGTAAGATGTCAGCGAGGGAAAAGAGATAGATGAGGATGGCAAATTCACGTTCTTCACATAGCATCCTTTTCTCCAGCCTTCAGAAAATACTTGAGACAAAAAAGGTCACAAGTACAGAGCAGGTCAGGAAGTAGGGCACGCACACTCTCACAAACAGCAGTCACTGGCAGAGGGGAGCCCCTGGGGTGTGCAAATGCCAAGGCTTTCTGGATTCTTCCAGGCAGTTGCCCAGTGAAGACATGCCAGTGTGTTCACCATGGAAAGTGCAAGATGCTATGATGTGGACTGCACAGACCTGGTGAGGGATGTGGGGAAGGAGGGTAGAGAGAGCTGTCAGCATCACAGAGGGAGATGGGGGCAGGTACTGGGTGAGCAAACAGTCACACAGCCATGATCTCATTGTCCCACACAATGTGTTCTACACAACGTGCTTCCAGGCTGAAAGCAGGATATTGTTTTCTTTTTTTGGTGGTGGGGGGTTTAATACTAGGATTTGAACTCAAGGCCCCTGTCTCAATAAACAAAAAATAAATAAATTTAATTTTTTTCAAATTAAAAAATATATATCATTTTGTTAGTCTTTATCTCCAATGAATTTTTTTCAGTTTCAAATAATCCTTTTTTTTTGGTGGCACTGGGGTTTGAATTCAGACCCTAATATTTGTGAGGCAGGTTCTCTACCACTTGAACCACTCCTGCAGCCCACAACTAACTTACTTTCTTTCTTTCTTTTTCTTTCTTTCTTTCTTTCTCTCTCTCATTCTCTCTCTCTCTCTCTCTCTCATTCTCTCTCTCTCTCTCTCTCTCTCTCTCTCTCTCTCTCTCTCTCTCTCTCTCTCTCTTTGGAGTACTGCTACCTACACCTTGAGCCAATCCACCAGCCCTTTTTTGTGATGGTTTTTTTTTTCGAGATAGGGTCTCGTGGAACTATTTGCCCAGGCTGGCTTCGAACCAAAATTCCCTGATCCTGCCTCCTGAATAGCTAGGATTAAGGCGTAAGCCACTGGCACCCAGCTCAATACTCCTTTCTTACAATCAAATTGTGTTCTTCTTGCTCTATCTCCTTTGAATCTGGGCTCCAACCCCATGTGAGGGTGGGCTTCCAACTCCTCAGAGGCACTTTTTACCTTTCTTCATTCTGCTACAAGATTTGAGGGAGTCTGTTCCTCACCAGTCACTGTGCTATTTCTGGTCTGTCATTAACACCAGGATGTGGTCTGCGTAAAGCTCACCCACAGGGATCTCCTTCCTTGGATGGACCTGTATGCACCTTCCTTCCCCTATCCTGCACAAGGTCAAAAACTCCAAAGTAATGGAAAATTTCCTCAAGGACACAGTCAATCCCAGATCTTGGCTTTCCAAGATCTGGTTTCTTATTTTCAATTAATTTTTTTGTCCTCCAGGAACTTTTTCTTTTTTTTGAGTAAGGTGAGAGAATTTATTGAGATAGAAAAGTAGCAAAGAGTAGAGCTCCCAGAGCTGGATGGGTCCCAGGAGAAGTGAGGTGGTCTGACTTTTTTTATCCATTTTCTCTGGGGCTTTGCTCAAACTCTGTGCTAATTAGCTGTGCTCCTCCAGCAACTTCTAACTTCATTTTCAGCTCAGTGATGCACATAAGAAAATCCAGGGCCCAGTGCTGGTGGCTCATGCCCATAATCCTCACTACTCAGGAGGCAGAGAACAGCAGGATCATGGTTTGAAGCCAGCCTGGACAAATAATTCAGGAGATCCTATCTTGAAGAAATCCATCACAAAAGAGCTGGCGGTGTGGCTCAAGCTATATGAGCACTTACCTAGCAAGTGTGAGGCCCTGAGTTCAAACCCCAGTACTGCCAAAAAAAAATCTGAGTTATCTCAGAAGTTTTATTTAGTCCACATATTACCAGAAATGATAGCAGCAAATCCTTTTGTAATATCAGGAGGCTGTGGTTGGAGAGAGATCAATGAAAGAGTTAACATGCCATTTTGATAGCAGAAGAATAGAAAATAATTCTTGAGCCAGATGAATGTTTGAACTTATCATTCTCTGTAGTATTTCAGTAAGTTTGTCACTTGATCATGAGTTTCCTGAATGCATTCAGAATGTCCTGCACCTCATCTCCAGTGCCCAGCACAGAGTTGCCTTGACCTTGCAAGAGACTGACCCAGGGGTCATCATCTTTGGATTCTAAACCCATTTTGGGCAATTCATTTTATTTCCTGGTACTTCATTTAATTATGAAGTTTCAAAATAAACCCATCTTATGTGTTTGTTGTCAAGACAACAGAGAACAGAGCTGAAGCATCTAGCACAACAAGTGATCAAATGTATCACTTTGGGATGAGACGTTTATTTGGAATTTCCCATGCGTTAGGCACTGCTCAGCCTTCTACACACATTCTGACCCATGTATTCTCCCAGCCAGATGATGAAGTAGCCCCTGTTGCTATCACCATTTTACAGATGGAGAAACAGGGTGGGAGGACATGGAAGAAATTCCTGAAAGCAATTGGGAGTTCCAACCTTGGAGTGGCAGATCCAAGTTTGGAAGCCAGGGTGTCTATCTAGCTCCTCTTAATTATTCTGCTAAACTCTGCTGTCATGTTTTAGGAGCCAAACTGACTCTCTGACCTGCCCTTCTTCCTCCAGGTGACAAAGCTATCTTTCTGGCCATCTTTAGCTGCCTCTTCTCGTCTCTCCTATTCCTTTCCATCTTCCTCATCTGCAGATACTTTCAGCATGGTGAGTTTGGAGAACAGCTAGTGAGAGTGGGGAAGGAGAAAAGGGTTTCTCAGGAGGTCAGTTCCTCCTTGCATCTTTTTATAGGTTCATCATCACATGAAGAATCCTCCAAGAGGTAGGTGGACATCCAGTACTTGGCCAGCCTGATGCCACACTTACTTCCCACCCCATTCTTCAGAGACCTTCTGTGACCATCTTCCTCACCTCTTCATAGCCCCTTCCCTCTCCCTCAAATCTTCAGACCACATACTTCCATATGTTTTTCTCTCTCTTTCTCTCCTAAGCATGAGGCTACAGGTAAGTGATAAAAAGAGATAAGAAAATCACAGGATAGAAAATACTGTAGCTTGCTTGCAACTTCTCTCTCTCTCTCTCTCTCTCTCTCTCTCTCTCTCTCTCTCTGTCTCTCTGCAGATTTATGCGAGCTGGAAGGATCCTCTATCTCAGTAAGTCCCCATTAAGAATTCCCAAGAGCTCATTTACCACCAGGACATAGCATATCTGCCTTCTGGTCTAGCCCATTTTCTGGTGTGTATCCTGTGGGGGTGGTGTGGGGGGTGTAACTGGTAATTTTAACTTTCTTCCTTATGATCTTTTATAATTAAAATATATACATATATTATTTTTATCATCATAAAACTTGACAGACTTCCATTCTGAAATATGCACACATAGAGAATCATGATTGTTGTATGTACTAAAATACTCTTGTTAACATTGCTATCAGCACACATTAGTTGTACAGAAGAGTTTCATTTTCACATTTCCTTACACGCTCACAATGTACCCTGACCAAACCCACCCTCCAGTACTCCCTCTCACCCCCTCCTCTTAAAATAATTTCAACAGGCTTCATCATTCTATTTTCATACATGTATATGAAATACTTTGACCATATTTACTCCACCTTCATTCTCTCCTTTCACAGTCCTGTCATTCTTTTTGTTTGTTTTTGTGTTTTGGTGGGACTGGGGTTGAACTCAGGGCTTCTTGCTTGCTAGCAGGCTCTCTACAGCTTGAGCCACACCTCTAGTCCGTTTTGCTCTGGCTATTCTGGAGATGGGGGTCTGAAGAACTATTTGCCCATGTTGGCTTGAAACCTTGATCCTCCCAATCTCAGCCTTTCAAGTAGCTAAGGGTTACAGGTGTGAGCCACGGTACCAGGCTCATTTGCTCTGGTTTTTATGAGCACCAGTTATATATGACTGCTAGTATCATTTTATTTGCACCAAATCGGAACTCTCATCACCTGAGACACAATCAGTTTCTGCGGAAGTGGACAATTCTTAACCCACACTGCCAGGCGGGACAGTCTAGCACACGTGGCTCTCACGCAAGTGAATGCATCTAGTGGGACTGAAAGCTGAATTTTATATTCAATTTAATTTCAACTAATGTAAATTTAAATAGCCATGGGTGGATTATGGCTCCCATATGGAGCCACTGAGGTCTAAACACCTTCTGCACCCATTCGTTTCAGCAAAGGTTGAGGACCTCCAGGGAGTGACCTATGCTAAGCTAAACATCCACAAGCTTTTCAAGGTGGCTTTTGTCCCCGCTGAGGAGCCTCTGGGATCTTATGACTATGCACCACTGAAAGTGTAGAAAGAGGAGAACTGGATCCAAAGGCGGAGGATGTATTGAGATGGCTGAGGTGGGGCTGGCGAATGGCTCAAATGGTAAAGCACCTGCCTAGCAAGCATGAGGCCGGAGTTCAAACCCCAGTACTGCCAAAAAAATAAAAAAAGAAAAGAAATTCAAAAAAGACAGCTGAGGGGACTAGAAATGTAGAATTCAGATGGCTCTGTACTCCTCACTCATAATTAAGTTTCTCATCTCAAAAAAGATTCCATTTATTAACTGGGCACTGGTGGCTCTCTCTGTAATCCTAGCTATTCAGGAGGCAGACATCAGGAGGCTCACGGTTCGAAGCCAGCCGCCCCGGGCAAATAGTTCTTGAAACCCTATCTCAAAAATACCCATCACAAAAAAGGTTGATAGAGTGGGTCAAGTACATGTAGGCCCTGAGTTCAAACCCCAGTACCACAAAAGAAAAAAAATCATTTATTGACTATTATCTGGGCCCAAGAAACTCATCCTACTGTCTCCACCCTGCATTTTCCCCCAGAACAATTAACAGAAATAATTATTGACCCACTATCAGAAGATAATTAGTGAGAGCCTCCAGAAAGTACAAGGAAAAGAAAATGGTCAAACAATTCAGACTCAAGTAAACAAGTCATTTTACCAAATGAGTAGAAAATAGAAAAATTAAAATATAGATATTTGTGATCATTTTGCAAAGGCATAAATAAATATGAGTGTCACAAATACAAGTGCTTGGTCATAATTGAGTCTTTAATTTTTTTTTACTTGCTTTTGCTTTGTTTCTATTTTTGTTTTCCCTAGGTTTGAACTCAGGGCTTTATACTTGCTAGGTAGGTGGTCTACCACTTGAGCCACACTCCCAGCCCTTTTTGCTTTAGTTTTTTTTTTTTTAAATAGGATCTTGTATTTATGTCCAGGTTGAACTGGACCACGATCCTCCTATTTATGCTTATTTATGGTGTGACAGGCACACGCCATCACACCCAGCCTTTATAGGTTGAGATGGGGGTCTCACTAACTTTGAGGCTGGCCTCAAACATGATCCTCCTGATCTCCTCCCAAGTAGCTGGGATTACAGGCATGAGCTACTGTGCCCAGACTCATGTTTGTTTTGGAGACAGTATCTTGCTATGTTGTCCAGGTTGATCTCAAACTCCTGAGTGCAAGTGATTCTTCTGCCTCAGCCTCCTTAAAAAATGGTCTTTCAGTATAAACTGAGTATGTTCAATTGTGAAGGAAAATAATTTAAAGCATATCCCAAATGTTGTAGACTAACTTTTGAAGAATTTGTCTAAAAGAAGCAAAGCACACAGTGTGACCTGTTCCTTTTGCTCAGGACATCACCACACAAAGGTGGTGAGAGGGCTGGGGGTCCTTGGCCAGTTTGTCCACTAATGTATCCCAAGTGCCTATAATAATATGTTCAGTGTAGTGGGAATTCAACAAATAATTGTTCAATAAATTAGAAACATTAAACTTCTCTCTTAGCTTCTACACCTCTCAAAAATTACCAGATGAGTATTCATGAAATTTGGAGTGTGGTTTGACTTAACTTATAGGCTGAGAGTAAATACATGTAGATCAAAAGTGTTCATAGTCACTCAGGAGCTCTGTGTGGCACCACAGGGAGGTAGAAAATTGACCTTCCAGGCATGGACGACGACTTTGTGGTCACTTCCCAACAGAAAATATCTTATTGACTCCCCTTAGCTAAGACAAAAATCAAGTCTCTTAGCCCAATGTGGTGGTGAAAGTCTGTAACCCCAGCATTTGGAAGGCTGAGGCAGAAGGGTCATCAGTTCAAGGCCAGCCCAGACTACATCATGATCTTGTCTCAAAAAGAAAAAGAAAAAGGAAGAAAGGAGGGAAGGAATGGAAGAGAAGGGAAGAATTTTCAGAATGGTCCACGTGGTTGTTGATTGGGCAAGCATCTCAAAAACACAGCAATTTCAAAAAGAAGCAGGAAATACAAGCCATGAAAACAGATATTCAACTATGAATTAATAAAAGCAAGCCAAAGTGACACAACCCCACCTCCCAAACTAAACGGCTAAACGTATTTGGTTCATGATTTTTTTAAGCAATGCTGATGGCTATCTAGGCTCTCTGGTGCAAATGTAAGTGTTTCCTTTTGCTGTGTCACATGTCCATTCAATAGTCATGATAGTTCTTAGCTTTCTCCCCAACCTGTTTGGACCAGCACTGCCTCACATCCTGGTGATGGTGTTGGGGGCGTCAGGGCTGCTGGAGAATCCCAGAAAGTCTAAGGGCATGAGTGATGTTGACCGATGAACAGAGCCATTGTCTGCAAACAAACTTGCAGAGGCAGGGGACAGGAGCCATGTTTTCTTCCCTGACCTCTGAGGCTATGGAAGGTTTGAGGTCCTGGGTTTCAGCTGACAACTGGGCACGTTCTACATTCACCTTCCCATCATGCCAGCCCAGGCTGAGAAAAACGGATGCCTTAGAAGATGCTGAAACATAGGGCTTAACTGTGAAAACTGGAGGAAGAGGTCTGGTATGTGGCTCAAATGAGTGAGTGCCTGCCTAGCAAGTACAAGCCCTGAGTTCAAACCCTGGTACTGCCAAAAATAATTGGAGGGAAGGTATCTCCTTTTCCTGCTTTTCTGGTCCTCCATGATTATATTCAACCAACTGATGGAAAATACTTAAAAGAAATTTCATCTGCACTGAACATGTGCTGATTTTTTTTCCTTAAATAACACAGCAACTATTTATAGGCATTTCACAGCATTAGGTAAACCATCTGGAGATGATTTAAGGTTTATGGAAAGATTACAAAGGATATTCCAAATACTACCTTTTTTTTTTGGTTTGGTTTTTTGAGGGAGGGTCTTGCTATGTAGCCCAGGCTGGCCTTGAACTCACAATCCTCCTCCCTCAGCCTCCCGAGTACCAGGATTATAGGCATGTGACACCAAACCTGGCTCCAAGTACTACATTTTATACGAGGGACTAGAACATCCTTACACTGTAGTATCTGTGAGGCGGGGGGCAGGGGGTCCTGGAACACACCCTGCCATGGATGAGAAGGGCCAACTATGATGAAACTTTTCTTTCTGCCTTAAAAACCAAGGTGGATACAGAGTAAGACTAAAGCTCCAAGGCTCAACATGTAGACAATAGTTAATAAAATGACATTAGGTGTTTTTGTTAAATAAGTAGCTTCTCACAAAAAGTTTCCCTATATGAGATGACAGATAGATTAATTTTGCTTCTCCATAGCAACCACTTTGATGTGCACATGGACCCATGACATCATCTTGTAAACTTTAAACATAGACAATTAAATGTGGTGTAAAACAAAACACAAAGTGTGTGTAGTGAGAGTAGGCTTGCAGAATGTACATGAGTTTTGTCCCTTGGAGTCCATGATTTTAACTCATGTTAATGCATCATTGTAACAACTTTTCTGAGTGGGAGCTTTTTGTTTCAAAGTCTCTGAATTATCACATGTGTAAACACAAACATGAAGCCCTGTATGTGTGTTGGGGGGAACCTGTAATTCCAGTCCTTGGAAGACTGAGGCAGTATTGTGAGTTCAAGTTCAGCTTGGGCTACGCAGCGAGCCCTGTCTCACACGCACATGCATATAAATATATATAT